TGATAGCACCAAGCCTTGGACTCTATAGTTGTTTGCCCAGAGATTATCATTGGGAGTTCAAGGCAAAAAGTAAACAAGACATTTCTAAAAAGACAGGAAATTGGGAAATTGGGGTGGAGCAGAAGAGTAATACAAAGGATCAGAAGAGATGGTGGTCTAAGAAATAATTGAAGGCGTTGCTTACCGTTGAGGTAAAATCCATAAAAATGTATACATGCAAACAAACACACACACATATATATATACCAGCTAGGATTAGAGTATAATTATAGAGTCCAGAATAACGAATACAAAGGACTCAACTTTAAAGCTTTACATGAGATATCTCTGCACCAGGGAGGCGTGTAGAATTCACATTCAAAATGGGAAAGATGCCACAGATCCAATGTTGGTATATTCACTTTACTTGTGAACTGTAACTTGAAGAAGCCTCACCTTTTTTGGGGTCTTGCCTGGTGCTATCAAATTACTTTTTCAAGGCTCAGCTGATGGGTACAGCATGTAAGGCGGACTTTAGATGCAAAGTAGATGGTCTTTCGGTTTTACAAATTTTATTAATTTTCAAATAAACAAATTCTTAATACAAATATGGTGCACATCATTAAAAAAAGAAAACCTATTAAATATCATATTTTCAGAGGTGATCGGCAATCCCCCCCCCCCGCATCCATCCTCTCTTTCACCCTTCCTACCTACTTCTTTCTTCCTTTCCTCCCCTCCTACCCACACCTCTCTCCTCTTTCTCTTCCAACTACCCTACACATCCCACCTCCTTCTTTTCTTCAACCTTCGGATGCAGTTTGGGGGTACTAGCCGAGCACCTTCTCTTCATAAGGAAAAAAAATTACATTATTTCTCTATAACATATTAATACACCAAATTTTATGTAACTCTACCCCCTTCAAAGTAGATGGTCTTCATACCTGCGAATGCCTCAAAGAGTTCTTGTCATGAGACTCACAGAAAAACAGAATGCAAGACTTGGAAGATGAGCCTTGAGCAGAATTGGTAGTCAACTCTCTTAGAGAAGTCCTGAGTAGTCCACTTCTGAAGAAAGGAACTCACCCAAAAGTCAATTCTCAACATCCCCTTCCTGGATCAAGATGTGGACACTAAGAGCACTCACTCCTGAACAAACCAGATTCTCCAGACATATTCTCTGGGATTTTTGAGACATTTCTCTTGAGGAAAACGGATATATAAATTTGATAAATAAATAAATACATTTCTCTATGTCTGCGGAGAGTCTCAATAATTCAGGTCATGCTTGTCCCAAAGCTGCTTTTTTTCCAAAAGGCAACTGGCCTTTCTTTGTCTTTTTCTTCGAAAACGTATCGCTTCTCATCCAAAAAGAACCGAAGAAGCTTCTTGGATGAGAAGTGAAAAGTTTTCAAAGGAAAAAAAAAAACCCCAAGAACATCCAGTTGCCTTTTGGAAAAACACATTTGGGACAAATTTCCCGGTGGCATTCAAGGCTACCAACCGTTAACGGTCTTCTGAATTGGAAGTGCCAGTTCTGCACTATTGTGATTCTCCTCCAGCCTGGATGACAGATTCTACAAAGGAATAAAAAGAAGAAATTGTGGTGGTCAAGATTCAGGGGCCCAGCCCACTCTAAGCTTTTCAGCATATATATATATATATCTATATATGTATCTTAAAAACAATATTAAAAACTGACAGTTGATTCCTGGGAGTGTTCATGATAAAAGTTTTTAAATATAAATGAGCACCAGGAAAACAAAACCCTTTAAAATTATTAAAAAGGTTTTAATAAATAAATAATGACCCAAGCTTTCGCCGGCTTTCCTGCCGGCATCTTCAGGGGTCCGTGTCAGTCAATATATATATATATGCAATTCTTCACCATCAACCAGCTTTGTCTGTCTTGAGAGGCACTGATGTTCTTAGGGACTGATTGATGTTTATCTCCTTCAGAAGGAGATTTACGTAAAAACCACAGGACATATTATCATAAAGAAGTTGCGATGTGTTCAAAGGAAACTCTTAAGAGTTAGACCTTGGCCTAGAAACCTGTTCATATTTTAAATCTTACCACTGTTTTCCCTTTGCTTCCATCTCATTTTTACTATGTCCTGCTGTCGATTTTAGATACGGTTATTTCTTGTGCCTGGGCAAGTATAAAAACACTGTTGTGTACTCAAGTGACAATGAGTTTACATGTTTTTGGAAAGAATGGGAATGATGGAAAGCTGGGGAGGAAAAAACCCCCAAGGCCAGGACTTTGAGGGCTTTTATGCTTCTTAAAAGTTCTCTTTTACTTGCTGTGGAAAAAAAAAATAACACTGCGGGCATTCTGGGCCTTGCAGCCAATGCTGGTTTTCAGTAGTTGTGCACTGGAGAGTAAATTTCACACTGAAACTAGGACAGTTGTAGTTGGAATGACAATTAATGTGCGCTGAGCATAATCCCGGTTGGAAGCTGGTTTTTGAATGGAATTAAACCCCTGGCTCTTTTTCTCTCCTGACCCCCTTTTTCCTGGTTTGGCCCTAGATGTTGGCTCTGGACCGGGGTGGCTTCCGTTTTAATTAGCTTGCCAAGCCAAAGTTTGGCCATTGTGTCCTTTTGTTGAATGATCCAAAGGTTGTCCTTTTTTTTTTTCCCTAACGAAGCTTTTTCGGGGGGCTCCAGCATCCTGGGTTTTCATCTTGAGACGTTGGATGCCAGCTGTCTGTTTTAAGGGAAGATTTAATCTGAGGGGTGACAAAAGGGCAGGGAGACCCCTAAGAATGGAGAACATTTATCTGCAGAGTTGCTAACTGAAGAGTTGAGAGGAAAAAAAGGACCCTTTGCAAAGTGGCACAGAGGAAGCAGCATGTTAATCACGTTTTGAGGACTGAAAAATTAAGGAGGGATGGTGGGCGCTAAATCTTGTCTCCAGCCATTGTGCCAGGCTCCCAGCGCTTGCTTTGGAAATGAACTTTTAAGAACAATCGCGCCTGTCTCTACTGACACCCTGGCCAGCCACACAAAAGTGTCCCCTTGGCTCTCCGTGGAACTGTCAACGTCTCTCTTCTGAGAGACACGACGTGAGAGGGAAAACTTCCAACGGACGTTTTAAAGTTGAAATTTGTAATGGCCCGTTGCTTTCTGTGCCACGTTTTAGTGGCACCTGCAAACATTTGGATTCTCCCACGCGTTTGCTCCAGGTGCCTTAGATGTGAGGAAAAATGACAGCAGACTTTCAGTCTTGCCCCACACTTTTCCATTAAGTATCTGCATTGCAGATCAATGAGTATCTGCAATTGGTCTAGACACCTGGACACCTGGAAGGTGGGGTAGGTCTCCCAACACATCCCTTCCCTTGTGACCGGCTATTTGTTGCTTGGAAGAGGGACGTTTGAGGAGAACTTCAGAGAAGGCTCCATGTGGTATAAGATTTCTCAGAGACTAGGACTCTTGACAAAGCACCCATGAAATTATAAGCGTTCATAGCTGACGCTTGGCCAACCTATTAATAATATGAGGCTGTACAAAGAACATACAAAATGCTTCAGGAGCCAAAACTGAAACTCCGGAAAGAGAATTGTGATTGTGTTGCTCTAGCTGAAGTTGGATCCAATCCCATTTGTTGTCTCATGTGTTACTGTGGACGATTAGCACAGGAAAATATGCAGCTTTCTTAATTTTTCAGAGAAATATGGTAGGTTTGCAGACAACCTGTAATCTCCTGGGAGAACAATTTATTATAGTCAATGCAGAGATTTTCAAATATGTTGGATACTGTTCTTCCACTGTTTCACTGTCGCTGAAACAGGTGCAAGGATATAATAATAATAATAATAATATAATAATAATAATAATAATAATAATAATAATAATAGTAGTAGTAGTAGTAGTAGTAGTAGTAGTAGTAGTAGTAGTAGTAATAACTGCAGCTTCCTGCAATAACTCCAGCAATGTTACAAAAAAACTGCGCTACTCGGAACATCTTATATAGGATGCTGGTAGCAACCCGTGTCAAACATCAGCGCCAGCCAATTTGAATGTTCAGTTGACTGAGGTTCATGTCTAATGAATAAAAGATAATAATAATAATAATAATAATAATAATAATAATAATAATAATAATAATAATAATAATAATAATAAAGTTGGAAGGGATCTTGGAGGTCATCTAGTCCAACCCCCTACTCAGGCAGGAAACCCTATACCAGTGATGGCGAACCTTTAAGAGACCGAGTGCCCAAACTGCAACCCAAAACCCACTTATGCATCGTCGAGCGCCGGGTGGGTGTGGCCCATTGGGTGGGTGTGGCCCATTGGGTGGGCGTGGCCCATTGGGTGGGGGTGGCAGACTGGGTGGGATTAAAAAGTTCAATCAATCAATTCCAACTTTGCAAGATCTTTTTTTTCCTGCGAGAAGTTGAAATTGACTGATTGAACCTTTTTTCTTTTTTCTTTTGCACATGGTTGTGGAGGCCTAAAGCGAAAAGGTTTTATAAAACCCAGCTGAAGGCCTAGGACTGGGGCGACGGTGCGTGTGCCCACAGAGAGGGCTCTGAGTGCCGCCTCTGGCACCCGTGCCCTAGGTTCGCCACCACGGCCCTATACCATTTCAGACCAATGGCTGTCCAGTCTCTTCTTAAAAACTTCCAGTGTTGGAGCATTCACCGCTTCTGGAGGCAGGTGGTTCCACTGGTTAATTGTTCTGACTGTCAGGAAGTTTCTCCTTAGTTCCAGGTTGCTTCTCTCCTTGATCCGTTTCCATCCATTGATTCTTGTCCTGCCTTCAGGCGCTTTGGAGAAGAGCTTGACTCCCTCTTCTTTGGGGCAGGCCCTGAGATACTGGAACCCTGCTATCATGTCTTGAAAAACCTATTGTAAAAAGCAGGATCTTGTGTCCAGAGGTAGAATTTCAGGAAGCGATGAATGAAAAACAAACACGGTGGTACACAATCAGTGCTACTGTAGTCTGATTTATTGTATCCCAAAGGCTCCAGAACCTGATTATCTTTCTCAAAATATCTTTCTGGCAGATGATTTAAGAAGTGAAACGGGTTTCCTCGAAGAATTGGTGGCTGGAAGTGGCGATACAGTTGAACTTCAGTGCAATACTCCGGACTCCCCTGTCTCTCTCCTCTGGTATAAAGACGGCATTGGGATTTCACCTACCAACCGGACTCATATTGGGCAAAAACTCTTGAGGATTATAAATGTGTCCTACAACGATTCAGGCCTGTACAGCTGTAAGAAGAGGCATTCGGTGGAAACGCTCAAGAACTTTACGGTCCGAGTTATAGGTGAGTCAGTACCAGTAAAGGAGAATATTTGTAACTCAAGGTTGAAATGAGGGGTCCCCGGTGCTCCATGAGCTTGGTGGTTGCTTTGCAGATGTTTCATGACCCATCTAGGAAACAGCATCAGTGTTAGAACAGAGGTGGTGGAGGTGGTGGAGGATTGTGGGGTCCTTGGTGCTGTCTGAGTTTGGTTGTTTTCTTGCAGATGTTTCATTACCTAAATTAGGTAACAACATCATCAATGATAGAAGGGAGTGTGCTTTGTAGAGGAGGAGGAAGAGGAAGAGGAGGAGGAGGAGGAGGAGGAGGAGGGGGAGGAGGAAAATGTAGAGGACTCTGGGGTCCTTGATCCTCTCTGAGTTTGATTGTTTTCTTGCAGACATTTCATGATCCAGCTAGGGAACATCATCAGTGCTAGAAGGAATGGGGTTTGCAGTGGGGAGGAGGAGGAGGAGAAGGATGACTGTGGGGTCCTTGGTGCTCTCCCAACTTGCTTGTTTTCTTGCAGATGTTTCATGACCCAACTAGATAACGTGATCAGTTCTGGGAAGGACTGGGATTTGTTGGTGCTTTTCTTGCAGATATTTCATTAACTAACTAGGGAACATCATCAGTGCTAGAAGGGAGTGTGGTTTGCAAGGAGGAGGAGGAGGAGGAGGAGGAGGAGGAGGAGGAGGAGGAGGAAGATGTAGAGGATTGTGGGGTCCTTGATGCTCTCTGAGCTTGGTTGTTTTCTTGCAGACGTTTCATGACCCAAACTAGGCAACATCATCACTAGCTAACATCATCAGCCCTGTTGATGTTACCTAGTTTGGGTCATCAAATACCTGCAAGAAAACCACCCTGAGGTGAGTCAGTCATGTCATTCTGATGTCTCCTCGCTTTTGTCATTGGACGGCCACAAATGTTGGAATCCCACCTGAGGTCGAAGTTTGCCTCCAGTGAGGGCTGTCTGGTGACTCTCAGAACGGTTCTTGATATCCGGAGCAAGAGGAGGAACATTGAATTGGGCCTTTGACGGTCTGTCAGTTGAACATTGGGATTCACTCCGGTTCCAACTTGCTATTGAAATAACCTGTCTTGGACTGCCAGGGTGGTCTATATGAAAGGCCATTCAGTCCAGCTAGCTAATTAACATTTCCCATGTCGCGGGCTGGGCTGCCTCCACCCTGGCCAGATTCAGGACTTTGCCGTCTAGATTTAGTAGAGGCGAGAGACAATAACATCTGAATACAGGATCCGTTATGGCGGTGCCAGCTGGGAATACGGAGCCTGTTACGCCTGTTCCATTGTGATGTCCTTTTTCTGTGGCTTCACACACAGATTTAATAGCCTCCTTAATGCTAAATTATCCTGGCACGTTTGGGCAGGAGAAAAGTTTCTTCTGATTGGCGGATTTGTCTGCAGAAACTGCACAATTGGTATTTTTGCTTCACAGGGCGAAGTGTCTTTACCGGCTTCCGAGTCGTTAAATATTTACACTTGTTCAATCCCGGAATCGGAGTCCAGATTAACCCGTTTTCTTACCTCTTTGTGATTTTTAATCCTTTTATTGTTTCACTTTGTGCTTCACGGTGCTTCTTTCTGGTAAGTCCGCGTTTCTTTGGAGAGCTAGGAAATAAAGGTTATTCCCATTCCTTACGTTTGAGCTTGCGCAAGTCTCTTGACCCAACTTAAAGACTCGTTTTGAAGAGTTTTACTCCAGCGAGGTGAGACGACTTTGGTCAAACTCTGCTTTGATCGAAAGGATTCGTACACAGGTTTCTTCCACGCTCTCAGCTAAAGTTGGTTCGTGCTTTGGCGGACAGTAGAGTGTACAGTTTTTTTGTTTTCGATTGAATGCGTTTTAGTAAGTAAAGGACCAAAGACAAAGAAATGGGCAGGATTGGCACTGAATTACATTGATTTCATTTTTGTTGGCATTTATTGGTTAGATTTTTTTAACCCGTAAATCCTCCAAGAATTCAAAATAGTAGCCCTGTCTCCTCCTAATTTCTCTCTGTGAGATAGGTTGAGAAATGACAGCCTCTTAAGGTCATCTAGTGCAGGGGTCTGCAACCTTGACAACTTTAAGACTTGTGGACTTCAGATCCCAGAATGATGGCTGAGGAATTCTGGGAGCTGAAGTCCACAAGTCTTAAAGTTGTCAAGGTTGCAGACTCTCTGATCTAGTGGGCTTCAAGGCTGGGGGAGTAAATTGAGGTCTCCAGCCTGTTAGTCCAACATACGATCCCTACACCATGTTGGTTAATGTAACTCTCTTTTGCATGTGTGACATTTCTCCCCTTCAGCACACTTAAAAAAAACTTCAAGAGCAACTTTTGGAAAAGATGCCAGGAGCACACCCTGCACTTTTCACGTTATGCACCCTTGAGTTCTAAGCTAAAAAAAGTTAAACTTAGGCTTATTGTTCATGCAGGTTGAGGAACGCACTTTGTAACATGGAAGGGGGGCAAAAGTGTAGTGGTTTGATTCAGTGTAGTGGTTTGAACGTGTCATTCGAATCCTATTTTTATTCCTATTTTATTGCAGCCCAGCGCGGAATCATAAAACTGTCCCACCTGAGGACATACACATGAACATTTGCTGAGATACCCTATATTTGTACACGCACAGCAGTGATTGCATTAACCTAATTTTCAAATTGTGGAGTCCATGTTATTTTAAGCCTCCTTGTCGTGTGTTTATCAGGAGAGGGCATTTTAATACATTGTTCTGGAGGTCATGTAAATAATTACATCAGATTTATTAATTTTATTAATCAGTTTTATTGATGAAATAGGGCATTTTATTGGTTTTCTATTGAGAAAGGGTACTGGTTTAGGAACCGCAGATAATTTGTTAATAACCCGATCCAAATAATTTGAATAGCAAAAGCTCTCTAAATCAATTTAAAATATAGTGTTGTGGAATAAACAGGGAGAAATTTCACACTGTAAATTCCTCTAGAGACTAAATTCAGTGTCGCCAGATTTTTCTTTTTCCAAGAACTCAGAAGATATCTGGATCCTCGGACTACTTTTTCATTCATTGGCATTAAAATGGAATAAAGTCAAACTTACCAGCTGAGAAAGAGTCCTAAGAATCTGCATACTAAGTGAAAACAAAGAGTGAAAAAAAACAATCAGATTTTTAATATATATAATTAAGAAATTTTTTCCTATTATCCAGTGACATCAATCTGAATATAAGATAGAATAGGATAGAATAGGATAGGGAATGGAATAGAAGAATAGGATAGGATAGAAAATAGAACAGAAGAATAGAATAGAATAGAATAGAATAGAATAGAATAGAATAGAATAGAATAGAATAGAATAGAATAGAATTCTTTATTGGCCAAGTGTGGCTGGACACACAAGAATTATATATACAAATTATAAAATAACAAGACAGTATATGAACTTTAAAGGCAACAACGATAACTAAGCCTTGTAGTAAAAAAACAACAACCAAAAAACCCCTTATGCATTCTTTCGTAGGTTTAGGATTGCTTCCTGTCACATTCTCTTATCTTCTTTTCCTTTACAAAGTGGTGTAGAACCATGTCTCCTTGTAAAAGAGACTCTCTTGAATGTAAGATTTATGAATCTTATGAGGTAGGCCAAAGTTAAGCCAACTTTGCACATCCCCTGCTCTTTATCTGCCTTAAACCGCACTCTGCAAGCGACTTGAAGGCTATTGAAAGAAGCGGTCCTCTGTTTATGAATGAAGACATGAGGCATAAAGAATGAACAGGCATATACACTCCAGTTCCTTATTTAGACAGACGATTGGACCCCGCTTTGAGTTTTCAGGCCAGGGGGAATTGGAACTGGAACAACCAGTAGCTTAATATGTTTGGTAAACGATGCGAAACAAAACAGGAGCCAAAACCCATTGTTGCTGCCGAATGAAGAAGATTTATGCAATCTGAAGAGAAACCAAAGTCAGAGTGGGAACAGAAATATGTGTCTCTATTTATTTGTAACCCACCATTTTTTCAGAGCTCAAAGTCTCTTAAGCTGGCTGCCATTTTTCAAAGTGTCGGCTGCTTAAATTACACAAGGAGAGGCAGCGTCAAGATGGACATCTAGCAGGTAACTCATAGCCCTCAACTGCCTAAGGTCAAGACTACAGCCTCAACCTTGACTCGTCCCAAAGCCCAACTTGGTTGCCCCATGCAGGCAAACAACCATTGTGGACACATCTAGGATCTTCATTAGCGATCTGACCCGTGGGCTGCAAAATGTCCGTCCCTTGCTTATTCAGAAAACCCAGATATCCTTCTGGGTTTGGCTGGATATGTAAGACACCCATGTAGTAGCAGGGGTGAGGTTTAATTACGTTCAGCCAGCCATCCTGTTCATTTTGAAAGGATGCGGTTGGGTTCATGCTGAAGCTGGTGCCTCAGAAGAAAAGAATTGGAAGAGGCCTTTTAGTCCAACTCCCTGCTCCAGCAGGGAACCCACATACCATTTCAACCAATTTTTCCTTTTTTAAACATTTAAAACCATCTTGTAAAAAATCAGGAGGCAGAAGGAAGCCCGATGCTTAGCCTTAAGCCCGAGTGCTCTCACCAAAGCGTAGCTGAGGAGGGCTGCCCGCCCTGGAGGAGCCCACCCTATGCAATTGGTATCAATAGCTTTACATTAGCATAATCTGCTTTTAATGAATTTCCTCGGCGTCCCAGATACGTCTGCATAAATTATTTTGGTTCCTAGAAAAGTCATAGCTGAAAAAGCAGCGTTGGGACTGTAAATAAAGGCTTTTTCCACATTTCATTGGAGAGAGACTGCATCAAAGCAGTGCTGGGCAGTGGAAACATACGCCCATCACCCCCAAATCCTGTTTTATTGCTGCACCCTGTATCTCATGTAATGTGCAAAGGATTGTATCAAATTAATATCTGATAGACAGGAGTTGTTCAGCGTGGAGTTTAGCAGCAGATACCCACCTGGTTTAATTTTCAGCTTTAAAGCTGCTCTATCTGAGACCCTGGGGGGGGATTTAAAAAAAGGGGG